TGAGGATAGGCCTGTCTTCTGTCCTGGTCATTGTGGTGTCACCAAGCCAGCAACAGTACCTGGCATGGTAGTGTTCAATGGTCATGTACTGAATGAATGAATGAGTGAATGGATAAATGAATGATTACTTAGGTAACTGCCCCAGTGAGAAGCATGTAAGGAAGAAAAAAGAACAAGTCCCTGCAGGCCACTCATCTGGAGCAAAGAAAGCATTCTTAAGTCAGTGGAGATGCAGTCATCACAGCTGTACAGAGGACTACTAACCCTGCTGTGAGATCCCAGCATGCCATCTGCCAGGGTTGGTGCCCTTTATGGGCTGATCCTGGGCTGTGTGGACAGCCCACAATGGCAAAGACCCCTACAGTACCCTCCCTCTCCAGCATCCCCCAACAGGGATCCTGCAAGCTGCGGAGTTGGTGTGCCATAGTGCCTGGACATCCGGACTCAGTTAAAGACCGATGGGTGCTTCCACCGTGGTGTGGGTCACGTGCTGCTGATCACCTCACCACTTGCAGCCGCTAAACCACAGAAGTAGTTCTGTGTCCTCATAAAGGGGTAGGTCATCCACCAAGCAGGACTGGACCCTCCACACAGTTTGCTGGTGCCCTCTAGTGGTGCTTTGGTGAACGACAATGACGCACGTTAGCATCGTTCAGAATGGTGGCTTCCAACCCATCACATTCCCCAACTTGGGTGCTTCTCTTGCTATAGGTGAACTGGTAGAAGGTAACCAGTCCCAGTAGAATCTGGGTGGATCCAACAAGAGGCAGGTTTGCTCAGCTTGCCTTGGGATTCAGTACAAGTCACATGACTATTAAACTCCCCATCCCCCAGTCTCAAAAGGACCTCATTGCTCCTAAAAGTACACCTCACGGCTGCCTGTGTCCTGGGGTACAGAGATGGGGCTGCATGAGGGCGGTGTGAATAACAAGATTTTGGAGGTTTACTTCCAGGTCAGCAACTAGGAAATTGGGAGGAGGGGTGTAAGCAGCTCTGACCACCCTGGGGACCACCGTCTTGTCTCAACTCTCGGTGGGTCTTTTGTCTTTGCTACCCACCCACCTACCTCTGCAGCCCAACTGTGCCCCGGGTTGTTGAGGCGGGTGGGGAACTGCAGGACCAGGTGTAAGAACTGGGATTTCAGGATTCAGAGAGGTCAGACTAGGCGAAGATGGAAAAATGGAGGAGAGGGGTGGTATGTTGACAGCAGGGAGGAAAGCAGAGCTTGTAGCAGTTCTATGGAAGCATCCCAAAGGGAAAAGGACCCGGGAACTCTCCAGTGGAAGACATTATTTTGAGAGCCAAGCAGACCTGGCACAGCAGTCCCTGGAGCATTGATCTCACCTTTAGGCCGGCAGGTCAGTGCAAACTCCAGCAGGCTTCAGACCCACAGCCACTCGTGGAGGGAAGCACAGTGTTGTGTACCCTCTCCGTGGATCTCCGTGGATCTCCGTGGATCTCCCTCCTGATGCAGAGACAGCTTGGAGTTATGCTGAGAGTCTGAGGGGAAAGACAGGCAGCGGTGGGTAGGGGCCCAGGAGAAGGCTCTGGTTCAGATAAAAGAACTGTGCAGGGCTGGAGATAAAGCTCAGTGATAGAGCGCTTGCCTAGCATGTGCAAGGCCCTGGATTCAGTCCTCAGCACAACACACACACACACACACACACAAGTGCAGCCATCACCAGGGTATGTAAACCAGGCAATTATTGTCAGGTTCCCACAAACAGAGTTTCCTTGCCTGTACAATGGTGTATGATATCTCTGTCCACCAAGACTCTGAGAGTCCATAACAAATTATGGCCTTTCACTGTAGAACAACAAACGCAATCATCACTAATAGTGTTGCTACTTGTGTGTCACTGCATGGCCTGTGCTGCTGCATTCTGCTGTCTGCATGATTATCAGAAACTGGAGAAACCCTGAGTCTGACGCCAAGTCACTGTTGACCTTGGGACCAAGTCCATTCCACCTCTCTAATTAAACAATGAAAGGATGTTAGGAAACCCCCATTACCCACAGTGAATGCAGCCCAGCTCCTGGGTAGCAGTAGAAAGGAAATCTGTAGCCCAGATCACTCTGACTTTGGTTTCTGGAGATCACCCCACCCCTAGGGTGTCTTCCACTGCAGAAAACTCAGGGGACCCTGCTGTCCCCTCTAGCACTCCAGCCTAAGTATGGACTCAATGCTTATGGAACCAAAAAAGCCAAGCTAAGGCTTGCTGTGGCTTGGGACAGCAGCAGGGAAAGCAAGCCTAAGAGAGCGTGCAGCTGGGGATCTGGTGACAAAATGGCTTGAGCCCAAGGCTCCGCCCCTCAGCTCTTCCTGCTTCACATGGGAGCTCCATCTTTCCCCTCTCAAGGAGCCCAGGCAGTACCTGCCAAAATAGGCATAGAGAGCAGAGCCAAAAGAGCTAGGCTTTCCAGCCCCCCCTGCCAAAGCCTGCCTTCTACTCCTCTGGGCCCTTCAAAGTGCCCCTTCTTCCCAGTGATTGGCCCTGGGGATGTCCACCCCTTACTGTCAGGCCTCAACAGGACAATCCTGGCAGAACACCACATCCTCTGTGAAATCTGTATGAAAAGCAAAGAGATTTGCAAAGAAATCTCCCACTTTGCTTAGTAAGTTTGTTGTCAACGATATATCTATGTATCAGTTCTGCAGAATTAAGCAAGTAAATATTGTGATGTTGTTGGAAGCCAGAGCCTATGTGTACATATGCAACAGAGAGAGATGATACAGATTAGAGAAATAGATCAGATTGACAATAGAGAGGCAGATTAGAGAAGATAGATAGATAGACAGATATAAGTAGATAGACAAATTGATAGATAGATGGCAGAGAGAGAAATTAGATGTAAGTAGATGAAAGATTCAGTAAATGACACATAGATAGATAGATACATCTTAAAGGTAATGACACTCTGGAAATGTGAGCACATCAAGTGGTCAGACATGGTTTCTAAACACCACTATCCACTAACAAGAACCGGGACTCCTCCAAGAAATGGCTGATTCTAAGGCCAGAGCAAGAAAAAATGCAAAGAGATTCTAAAATGTCTTGTGCCAGGAAGTAAGAAAGGGCTTAAAAAAAAAAAATTATATGAACAGTCGAGTGCTGGTGGTTCTCACTATAAGCCTAGCTACTTTGGAGGCTGAAATCGGGAGGATCAATGTTCAAAGCCAGCCAGACAAATAGTTCACAAGACCCCATTTCCAAAATAACCAGACCAAAATGCACTAGAAGTGTGGCTCAAGCAGTAGAGCACCTGCTTTGCAAGTGAGAAGCCCTGAGTTCAAACCCCATTCCCACAAAAAGAAAATTATAGGAACATGTCAGGAAAAACATATAGTTGGTAACATGAAGGAATTTCCCACTGGCCAAATCTGGAAAAAACTGAGCATCAAAATGAATAAGGATAGCAATCGGTTATAAGACGTTGAATTACAAAGGAACCCATGAATCTGTAAGTAAGTGGGAGGAAATGAAAGCTCTTGAGTGCATAGAATGTGAAGTATTCAAATGAGACAATAGAATTAGCAAATCCCCCGTTCACACCTTCTAAAGGATTGTGACTCAGGCAGGAATCATCAATGGCAGCCCAAGTCCCTGAGCTAATGTCTATGGGAGCAGGATATTCATATGCTCTCAGAGTGGCTCCCACAGGTTATTATTTAAGTACAAAGGGGAAATGGTCAAGTGGAGGGACCTCGCAGATGTCACCACAACCAAGTGACCATTGTTAACACCACCAGTAATAGGACAGAGTGCCATCAAGTGCCCCCGAGGTGAAGCACCAGGGAGGCGAGGACATCACTTACATAGGCTTCCTGGCTGAAATGTAAACTGAATCCAATGGTGACAACACAGTCATGGCAAACTCAAATGGAGGAACATTCTACAAAATAACTGAGTTGGATTCTTCAGGAACGCTAGTGACATGAAAGACCAAAGAAGGTGGAGGCATTGTTTGAATTTAAAGGAGCCCAGAGAGACAAAAAGTAAATCTAGCACATGGTCCTAGAATGGGTCCTGCTTTGGCAAATCCGCACTCGCCTTATAGAGTATTATGGGACCAGTTGGTAAAATTTGAAAATGGCTACTATTAGATAATATTAGATAATTAATTAAATTTCCTGAATCTCATGTGTATGTGTAATAGGATTTCTTCATTCTTAGGAAATACATGTTGAGATATTTAGGAGTAAAGGGTTAGCATGTCTACAACTTAACTCTCAAATGGTTCTGAAAAATAAATGTACAGTAGAGATTGTTTCATTTCTTAGGGTCTTTTTCTCCTCTTGCCACCATCCGGCTGGTTCTCTCCAACAGTTTCCCAATTAAATTTCTGAGAGAATGTATTTGGGTAGGATTCTCTCTGTCATCACAAGAGCAACTTTGTACTAGGAAAACATAGATCTCTGATCAGCCTCAGGATTGGCTGCCTGGATTCAGGTACCCTTTGTCCAGTCAGTTCTGGCCCAGGATGAGTCAACATGGCTGCCCCCTCTGCTTCTGAAATGCAGGTCTCCTTAGAAGGGCTTGGCAGGATCCATGCTTGACTGGGCCAATATACTTCTTGTCTCCAGATGCCCAAGTTAGCCCCAAAGACACTCAAAGACCTCCTGAGCTAAAATTGTGCATAATTCTCTCCCTCCCTCTTTCAACAAAGATTATAGATGTTTCTGGGCCAGGTCTTTTGCTAAGTCTGAGGAAGACAGGTCTGACCCAGTCCTTAGCCTCAAGCTCTGGCTCAAGTTGGGCAGGCAGGAAGAACACAAAGAACTATGGTGCAGGGTTGGATTGAGACCAAAAAACAGAAGGCAGTTGATGCTACTTGAGGCCTGAGCTCCATACTGTGAGAACACAGAAGTGGGGTTCAAAAGTCCTCCTGAATGGTGGCACTGGATATGGCTCATGGATGGAAAAGAGCCCTCACAGAAGGACCTGGCTTCTGGAAAGTACCCAGTCCATCCCTGAGGTTTCTGTTTTCTCTTTACACAGCCGGACCCAGCAGGACGGGACATCTCAATCCGCCCACTCCTGGAACACTGCGAAAACACCCACATGACCATCTGGCTTGGCATCGTCTATGCCTACAAGGGGCTTCTCATGGTAAGTGCAGAGCTGGAGGCAAAGACAAGGACACTTCTCTGTTGGGCCCCTCTCTCCTAGAGGCCTCTGTCAACATAAGAATAAACAAAGCCCCCAAGACTAACCAGTTACTCTCTGCTAGGCTCAATTCCTGCTGTATCTTTTCAGGTTCCACAACAGCCCTAGGAGACAGGTACAGATAACTTTCCCATTTCCCTGAGGAGGACACTAAGGGTTAGTATTTTACCCAAGATCACTCAGCTAGTAAGTAGCAAAGTCAAAAATCTTAACAGGAAGTAACCCTAAGACCTGTGAGTATGCCTCACAACTGTCCCTTACTGCTCCAGGAACAACAGTCTACTGGGTCCCTCATGTACCCCCATCCACGTGCCATCAGAGCCTCTCTATAACCATGGGGTGAGTGGAATCACCCCTATTTTACAGGTGAAGAAAGTAAGGCTCCATCAGAGAGGTTTAAATGATCAGCTGAAGGCTACCTGGTGACCTCCAGTCCCTGAACCCAGGACTCTTACCCTCTACCTATCTGTTAAATCAAAGATCCCATACTAAACCCAAATAGCACAGTGATGGGATTTCAACCCTATCCTACCTTAGCCCAGGTAAATCTTCAGTCTTTTTTCCCCTGTGTAAGTCATGCCTCCACTTAAATCCCTCTGGGGACAGGCAGCTGGCCACTGCACCCTTTCCAGGTTAAGCCACCATCTGCCTCTGTGTGGACCCCACTTAGAGGCCAAGAACAAAGCCCTCTCCAATAGTTGAAGAAACTGGAATTTTGGGGGCTGCCTAGAACATTCTTAGCTGTGCTGCTTCACAGAACTGTTAGTGATTTGGCCCTTTGTCCTCCAAGGAGCCACAGCAGAAGGACATATGTTAGGACACCCTAGGCTAAGACTGCTCCCCACTTCAAAGCACTTGAGACTGTTTCCATAGAGGTCTTTTGAGACCTCATGAAAGCAACAGACCCCTGTGCCGTTATCTGGACCCCACAGGGTAGTGACCTTGCAGGTGTCCATAGGATGTGTCCACAGTGGAAATAGGACCCTGAAGGCTTGACCAAAGGTCCTGGATGGGACAAGAATACACACAGGGAACATGGTAACCAAAAACATGGAACAGCTGTCAGACATGGGTGACCCAGACCCATCAGTCACAGGCAAAGTTGCTCCAGCATGCAGTAGTGGCCACAGAGGTAATGGAGGCCCTAGGAGGAGGAGATCCCATCACAGTAAGCATGAAGAGTCAGTGCCCTGAGTTTGCTCCAGGCCTGGTTGAATAAAGAGAGTGAAAGTAGACTCTCTCCATGATCTTCCCAGCCTTGATTCTGATGTTCCATGAAGTTAGATCACGGTGAATCATTTTGACATCGGTAAACTGGATTTATCTGCCATGTTTTCATCATTCATTATCTTTTTCCACCTACTTCCAAAAGTGGTTGCAGATGACTTTGTTTCTTCCAGTGAAGCTACTGCCTCCAGCTGAACCATATCAATAAAAGTTGTATTTGACAGCACACATGCTCTGTGCCATTGACAGTGGATACAAGGAACTGTGTGCCGCACGCCTGGTCCATAGTGTTTATGGCTAAAATCCCACCATTCCCTCTACCCCTTCTGTCTTGGAAGCACTGACTCTCAAGGCTAGAAAGAGCATGTACAGCCCTGCAGGCCCCTGAGCATCCCCAGCAGTGTCCATTCACTAACAGCTTCCATTGCTCTAGAGATGGGAACTCATCTCTTTCAAAGCAGCCTACGCATCAAATGGATGGTGGGTCCCTTTCCTTTGACCGCCATAACAAGCATGGCTTTTTAAGCCACAACATAGTGGCTTAAAAAAAAAAAAAAGAACAGAAATGGGCTCTCTTAAAGTTCTGGAGGCCAGAAGTCCAAATTCAAAGCAAGATTGTGCTCCCTCTGTAGGTTCTGCGAAGACTCCTTCCTTGTCTCTTCCAGTGACAATGGCTCCAGGCATCCCTTGGTTTGTGACTGCATAACTGCAGTCTCTCCCTCCATCTTCACATGGCTTCTCCTCTTCTCTCCCAATTCTTGCCATTAGATTTGGGGACCACCCAGATAGTCTGGGGTGATCTCATGTCAAGATTGATAATTGTATCTTCAAAGACCCTTTTTCACACTAAGGTCACAATCACAGCTTCCAAGGATCAGGATGTAGACATAATTTGTTAGGGCCACCATTCAACCCTCTACATATGGGTTGTTTCTCTAGAAAGTTCATCCTTGTCCTCAGCTGAAACCCACCTCCATGTAACTCCTTGAAGCCTAGGAATGCATTACTCTCTCCTGACATTCTTTGGAGATTTGTAGCCAACCACCAGGTCCCCAGATGCACTCATGCTTTGTGGTGGAGACTCTCATGGTGGTTTGGTGGCCTACCAAGCAGTATGGCAGAGAGAAGAACACACCAAGTCCCTGTCACACAGCCAGAGTCTCAGGTACCCATCCAGCACTGCACTCACTGTCATGGATCCCAGGAAGTGAGGTGGCTCAGCCCCCGTGGGACTGCCAGATCCTACGTGAAGAAACCAGCACAGTGTAGGTTGTCATCAGCCAGTGGTTCCCGTCCCTCACTCAACATAGGCATCCTGGGCTGCTGGTTTCCTGCGGAGGTTCAGTGCCAGCCCAGGGAAAAAGTTATCAAGAGCAGGCCCTTCCTCCTCTCTGGACCTCCCCTAGAGAGTGAGGGGAGCTCAAGGTAATATATGGAGTTCTTTCCCTCGGTGGCCTCTGGCAGGTCTGTGCATGAACCAGCTGTGGGGGAGAAGGAGAACGGGACAGCTGTCACACCCTCAGTCTGCACTTTCCCCGTGGAAGGCAACTCAGGGTCACAGTGGAGACAGATGGTGGCATCCATAAGACCTGGCTGACATCAGAGTTCCCCCAGCCCCCCAATTCCCAAGCAGCCCTCTGTTCAGCAGCTTCTTGAGTGACAAGCATGTGCTGCCACTTGGTAATGACCATCTCCCCTTCTGTTCACTGTTCCAGCTGTTCGGTTGTTTCCTAGCCTGGGAGACCCGCAACGTCAGCATCCCCGCTCTCAACGACAGCAAGTACATCGGGATGAGCGTCTACAACGTGGGAATCATGTGTATCATTGGCGCCGCTGTCTCCTTCCTGACCCGGGACCAGCCCAATGTGCAGTTCTGCATCGTGGCTCTGGTCATAATCTTCTG